CAACAGGAAGTCAACCCTGTCCCTGAAAAATAAGCTTGATGTCTACAAATAAATCATCCTTCCTGTAATCGAGTACGGTATGCCAATCTGCGCAAAATGCCATCATCTTAAACTCCAAAGGATCCAGAACAAGATCCTTAGGATGGTCCTAAACAGTCCTCCGCGGACTAGAAATTCTGAGATCTTCTTCCTGGGTGAAATTCAAACATTAGAAGAACGGAGAGTATTCATCCTGGAAAGGTTCAGAGACACCTGTCTGAGATCAAATCATACGTGATCTAGCACGTTAGGTTAAGTTATACTCTTAGTTAGGTAGGTTATCACTTTTTTCAATTCAAATAAAACACATCCCCAAAGGGATATTCTGTAAACTAGTTGAAAAACGCAAATATTAAATTAGAATATCAAATTAAACAAAGATGAAGAGCCAAGTAGGCTAATCAATTAAAATGATAAATCAATGTACTACCATAATCAACAGAAATAAACATAATTTTACTACTACTAACGGTCCGCAGACATGAACTTCCGCTCAAACGCTCGCAAAAAACTACAAGGGACAGCCCTATGGGGTTGTACGCAATGGTGATGTAGGACTACGTGGAGCGGGGTTCTCTCTGTTTATACTCTTTAGAATGGCTATGATTGCCCTGAAAAGAACCTTTTGATATGAGTTTTAGTTGGGACATTTTCAGAAATTTAACTCTTTTGGAAAATCTTGGTGTCCCTGATAAGAGCCGATGGTAGTACAGGCTTAAAGCCTTTGGAAGATGATGATGACGTGTCCCATATTCTTTGGTTCAATGATTGGACACACGCAAGAGTCTCGGCCCGTCTGCTGCTGGACAGGGTTTGAACTGGTGTCTGCGACAGGATTTTTCGAAAGCTAAAAAATCATGCCCCACCCATTTTGAGTATTTTATCATACACTTCATCTGCTGGGCCTTTCTACACTAAATTATGCGTTATATAGAAACAGCCGGTAGAATATCAGCTGAAACTACTTCCCTTTTTAGTTTTTCTCGTTAAACTCCTTCTCTCAACAAGTTGGTAAATCTTAGCCTTTAGCAGAAAGACGCAAAACATTTTTTTCGGTGAATTCAAGATCCTGTTTCACGTCATGGTTCTTTTCTATGCCTGTTCAGATAAATTAGTACTTTTATTTATTTTCTCTACTGCGCGAAATCAAACGAGTTGAAATAAAATAAAATCGCTGGAAAAATCTTTACGATTAATCGTTAATCAAATAATTGGACTTTTAGGCATCCTTTGAAAATAGTGTAATTTAATTTTTTTTTTGTCCTTCGAAAATGTCGAACAGCAGAATTACAACCAGCAAGTGTAACCCTAGGGGCAAGACAGCTTTTGATCATGATTTAAAACCGAGTTAATTTTTAGTAGCTCGAGTTATTCAAAATTCAATACAAGCAGACTCAGCAACCATATTTTTGTTGTGCCCATTTCACATTAAAACAACAATATTATCTAATCGCGTTTCATACCGGATCATCTCTCTGTCAAGTTTTGTAATTGTTCGTCCTCTGAAAAATAGTATAGTCTATCATTTATCAATTCTTACCGTTTAATTGTTCCTTTTTATTTTCAGATTATAAATGAGTCTTCTAGCCTCACATCTATGAGTACTAACTTTAAGAAATTTGGCTTACCTGGCCCTCGACTAAAATAACCACGGCACTCACAATATTACAACGATTTGTACTTCCAGTCCAATTTCCAATTCAATGCAGCAGTTCAATGTAGTTGTAGTTACACAGCTAAAAAAAAGTAGTGTAAATTTCCGTTTCTATGATGCACATAAATGGAGCGTCATATATCATACAAATTTAAATTATATATCGTGTAAATTTATGAGACATGTCATGCAATATCCCATATATTGTATGCAACTGTCCACTTTTGTTTGCAACATTTCTTGCAAGTTGCTAATTCACGTGAAAAGGAAGTTTACATGTATGAATGTTTGCATGCATGGATGTTTACATCGCCAGTAAAATTCAGAATTTTTTGGTGTGTAGGTATTATATTCGATTATTTTATTTTATTATTGCAACATTGTACATTCTACATTTTGCATTAAAAACACAATATGGCTCATTAGTATACCATGGCTCGACGACAAACACCACTGTTTTCAGAAGGTTTTACAATAAGGAATTCCATGTTGCTGATGATTACAATGTTCAAATTCAAGCATGCGGATGGCAGACTTAATTTTTAAGTCCGTGCCATGTGATTAGGTATTCAGGTTCTTTTTATAACAGTAGGGGTGAAACTGCCATACCAGTCCACCACCAAACTGCTTTTCAATTTAATCGACGGTATACTATAGGCAGCCTTGCTGATAGGATAGAAACTATATCATCAACCATCTCCGGAATCGGCTCCGGAAACTCATCACAAGTACTCGTTGGGTTGCCATCGATGTTTATTCAAACTGATGGCAGTTGACCTGCTTTCACTTGTTGACATAGGACTTCTTTAATCACTTTTGAATAATTATGAGTAACTCAAATTTACTCGATTTAAAAATATTAGCTTGGAGTACAGCTGGCTTGCCCCCAATGAGCTGGATTACCGAGGTGAAGCAATCACTCACACAACCACTGTACGATACACGCAAGTACACGCAAGTAGTGACGTCACTACTTGCGTTTACGTTGATTTTTTGGTTTACTAATACAACCCTATTTCACGATCTGCGCCACCTCTCTCTGTACCTCATTGGCTTGCCCCTAGGTGTAACCCAAGAACCAAAAGCGGTGCGAGGGTAGTTTTCATTTCTATGACGACTATGTAAATAGTGTTTCTAAATACAAAAAATTGATTAATTTTGTAAATTTAAATATTAGATGAGTAATTTTGTGATATCGCGTTGGACAGCTCGTTCAACGGGCTGGAATTTTTCGGCGAGTTCAGCATCCATCGTCGCCGGACCGTCTGGTTTCTCGTGGCGTCAACTTGACCGCCATTTCCGTCCGTTGGATTCGGACAAAGACCCGTGTGCATTGCGAAGGCCCGCCTCTTGTAGGTAGTTAAACGGAGTGTCGTGAAGTCGCTAGTTTTATTAAGCGAAATTTTTCCCGACGGTCGCCAAAAGCCGTTGGTAGAGTCCCCATTACGCTACAACCCCGGGGACCGTTATACTCGAGAGCTCAAACCGCAGAAGTACGAAGCCAATTGCGTACCTCGGTTCGGATTTTAACCAAAGAGGGGGGAGATTTCATTTCATCTCGGGCGGTCATAGCGGAAACATAGTACGCGAAGCCGTGCGACGGCACGTTGGTCTCTGTCCTCCACGGAGCGAATCTCCCGGGAAAAGCTCGACTCCGTCGATGCTCAGCTCTCTCGAAAACAAATCGGAAGATCCGTCCAGCCGCCACTACCTCCGCACCTCTAATTTCGGCCATACCGCACGTGGGTCACTTTTCGTCGCTGCACGCTATTACCGCAGCTACATCGGCGCCATTTCGAGACCGCCGCCATCATCACAGGTCGTCGGAAGGTCGACAGTCAACATTGCTAGAACCTTGGTAAGGTCACTGGCAGCCATTGCCGCCCCATCACCGTTTCGTCCGTCGCCATCATCACATCGCATCGCATCAAAAAAACCAGCGCAGGTATGTTCGCACTTTTTGTTCATGGCCATGAATAGTTTGCTTTTTTGAACCGAGCTTAGTCCAACCCGAATGAATGTAGAAAAATGATGAGAATATAGATTGAAATTTGATGTTTTTCGTTGTTACTTAATTTTCCGTCACGGTTTTTTAGCTGGTTCGTCATGGAGTTCTTGAGCTCGTCTTGGATTCGCATCATTCTAGCTTGGTTCGTTAGGTTTAATGAAAATTGGGACTATAATTTGTGGATTTCTTTGAGATTGCGGGTTTTCCTGATGGTTAATGGATCGGATAAAGGTGTTCTTTCGATAAATATTGGTTTCCATCTAAGTTTCGAATTTCATTGAGGAAGGTTTTTAAATCCTACCGTTTGAGTGGTCCTCTGAGGATAGGTCTCTAAGTCGTACAAAGAAAACACGACCGGTGGTCTCTCTTAAAGAGAGTGGCGCTTAAGCCACCGAGTTTCACTTGAACCTCAAGCATTCTTCGCGAACGGTTACACGTTGAAATGGTCGTCATAGTAGCCCACATTTATGCAGTGACGGTGACGATTTTCAGCACTGCGGTTCGTGAGACGTGGGCAGACTTACATAATTATGTGGGTCAGCTACAAACCCAGACATTGTTATGAGTGGATGGAATACATAATGTGTAGTATGTTTTATTTTGTCCGTTCCGACAGGGTTAACCTACGCTTCGACGATCAGAGCGACGAGTAATCAACCAACTCGCACAACTTCGTAGGTGGCATCAATCTTTGACTAAACGATTATTGTACGACTGTCTCCTCTGGCTAAAAACATCACAGTGTTTCTTAACACCGACAAACAGTAACGAAACTCAATAATCCACCTACAGAACCATATACAAATGTAGTTGTAATACTCTAATGAGATAATGCATTGCCAATTGCGGTAGGCAAAGTACGCTTCCCATTCAGTCGCCGTTCAGCACTTGCCGATAGTGTAGCTCAGCCTAGAGTAAGTTAGCGTTATACCTTATATGCTTATCAGTTCCGTTTGCATATCAAACATAATGATTAGAGCAAAGCAAATATTTACATTTTCGCGATGGCACAGCAGGTAAGCGGCATTGTGCCTTGCAACCGCTAGCGATGTTCTATTCCGAGTTCTGTTTATTTTCTATAGAAGCACGACGAGAAAATCCAGCTACATTCATCACGTCGGCAAGCATCCTCTGGTGTACAGGAATGTTGGACAACATCTCAGACTGGCAGCGGAAAGGTTCCCCAACAATGAGGCCCTGGTTTCAGTGCACGAATCACGGCGACTTACATTTTCAGAAGTGCTTGAGAAGGTTCGATGCATTTCAATGATATTTCAAGGCGTTTAATCAGAACGAACATTTTTCAGGTGGATCGCCGCAGCTTCATTCTACCAGATTGGTCTTCAGAGAGGTGATCGTGTTGGTATATGGGCTCCAAGCGGGACACAATTCTACCTGTCTACTTTGGCAGCCGCACGAGCAGGAATGATTTCCGTCGGAATCAATCCGGCCTATCAGGCCCCAGAGCTGGAATATGCCTTGAACAAAGTAGGAGTGAAAGCTCTGATAGCACCGGAAAGCTATCGCAGTCAAAATTATTACGATATGATTAATCAGATCGTTCCTGAATTGAAATCTTGTTCTGCTGGAGAGATCAACAGCTCGAAGGTGCCTTCCCTATCAGCCGTGATTATGGAAAGCGATCGAGGACAAACACTCACGTAACAGTTTCCGAAATCTCAGGTCCGCGTAAATTTGTGGTAATTGATGATTAAATCATCTTTCCAGAGGAACCATACCATACGAAGATCTGTTCCAGATGGCTACAGAAAAAGATATTTCTCATGTGGAATCACTGCAGAACTCAATCTCTCCGGACAGTGGCGTAAATCTCCAGTTCACTTCGGGCACTACGGGGCAACCTAAGGCAGCTCTACTCTCTCACTTCAACTTTATCAATAACGTCGTTTCCCTCGGATTGAAAGGTGGGTTCGAACTAAGTGAACAGCATCGAGTCTGCATTCAGGTACCGTTCTTCCACGTTTTCGGAGTGGTCATTGGAATACTGGGTTCGATAACGCACGGATGCACCCTGGTTGTTCCCGGACCGGGTTTCAAAGCCTCTGCATCTGCACAGGCGATTGTTAATGAAAGGTAGCCCTTCTAGATCTTATTTGATAAAACCAATCTAAATCAAATGCTTACCAACAGATGCAACGTAATCTACGGTACTCCCACCATGTACGTGGACCTTGTGAGTGAAGTTAGAAAAAGCGACATCAAACTTCCTCCGATCAAGTTGGCCGTCACGGGAGGAGCACCCTGTTCACCGCAGTTGTTCACGGACATCCAAGGAACGCTCGGTGTGGAGCAAGTCAAGACGATCTACGGGCTCACGGAAACGACCGCAATGTGCTTTCATTCGTTTCGGGAAGAGTCTCAGGAGAACATTCGCGCCACGGTCGGTCATCTGGGTGATCACTGGGAAGCGAAGGTGGTTGATGGGGAAGGTAAACTGGTGCCGTACGGAACTCCCGGGGAATTGTGCATTCGTGGTTACGGGACCATGCTCGGCTACTGGGAGGATGAGACGAAGACCAGGGAGACGATCGGTGCCGATAAATGGTTGAAGACCGGAGATCAGTTTGTGCTGAGGGAGGATGGCTACGGGCAGATCGTTGGTCGGATTAAGGAGGTGGTCATAAGGGGAGGGGAGAATGTATATCCAAAGGAGATCGAGGATTTCCTGAGTACGCATCCGGATGTGTTGGAGGTGCACTGCGTTGGAGTTCCGGACGAAAGGATGGGAGAGGAAGTTTGTGCCTTTGTTCGGTTGAATGATGGCGGGAAGCAGTTGGATCGAGCTGGTGTAAAGGAGTTTTGCACGGGAAAACTTGCTCATTTTAAGGTTCCAAAATATGTGGAAGTTGTTGAGGATTTTCCGAAAACAACGTCCGGGAAGATACAGAAGTTTAAGTTGGTTGAACGTTTTATGAGAAATAAAGTATAACGATCGATTTTTACTTCATTTGTTTGAGTTTGGTAACTCACCAGATTGATTCAACTACCTACTGTCGATGACATCTGTTTGAGTATACTACAATAGGCATATTCTACGCAACGTGTGAGGTAAGGTGACTCGCTTTCACTAGTAAAGTGATAATTGTCACCTCAGGTGAGGTGACTCTCTATGCAATTCGACTGGCGGGTCACCTCAGCTCAAACGCCACACAGAATAGACCTGACCTGAGATCGCTGGAACTAAACTCCAAATGAAGATACTTTTTAAAACAGCCCTCATGCACTTTAGAATATAGTATATCGATTTCACTATGGTGGAATGATCAAAATTTTAAGGATCTACGGCTCAATCTTGGCATGTACGAGATCCATTTTTGGTAGTTTGAGAGACCTTGGCACTGAGATTGATCAACGGGACACTGAAAGTAGATTCGAAAGACTTTTCGGGAACTGGTTACAGAATGTTTCAGGACCCATCCAATAAGTTATTCCAAAAAATTAAGGGACTGATGAGGATGGCAGAAGAACAGAACTTCAAAGGCAGGTTCAGAAAAAAAATTGGAACACGTTCAGAGATTGTTTCACATGTCCTGGTTTCTAAGGTCTTTATAGTTCTTAGTATTTGGTCACGGAGGACTCATCTTTTCTCTTGGAAGTCATCTAAACTTAAATTCACCTGTCTGAATGTTTCCCTGAATGTTCTTCAAAATGATCAATCGGGTTCTGTTGGCTTACTGTTGAAGTTCTCCAGGCTTTATTTGATGTACTTTGAAGAACAGGTTTCGGGCCATTAATTAATTTCGTCTCGTGGTGGGCGTTGGCCAGATTTGGATTTTTCAGATGTAATCCTAAATAGGACCTAGATTTTTTAATACTCTAGTAACCTCAAGTCAACGCTCTGACACAATGTTTCATTGTGAATAATCAACACTCAAAGGGGTAAAATATCAAATTTGGGGTGAATTTGAAAGATAGGGAACTTGGAGTGTAGAGCGCACTGCCCACTGGACGATTCTGAAGCCTGGCAAAGTATAGGTATGGGTTTATTTTATTCCAATTTATATATTGATACATTCAAACCATTGGCATATGGTATTTGAGATAAGACAGAGATAGGATGCGGAGGGCCCGCTTAGATAATTCAGATAGGCTAGAACTGCCAGGTTAATAGTGAGAGAATGCACCATATGGTGCCCGTTCATTGATCAAAATCAGATTCACATCGTCAGGCCCTGCCCAAGAAGAATAAAGGGAATGAAGATTATTTGTCAAGTTTTATTTTGCATTTGCATATAATTGTAATTTTAAGTTTGCTTATGTAATTTTAAGATAAATAGTTTATCTCAATTGAAACATTGAGTTGTATAAACTTGACAAATCATACATCTAACATAGTAGTTGCTACGGTGTCGCATGACCTGACAACCACTGCCAGCAACTAATGTTGGAGGGGCCGGCAGGGCGCGATAGCCGATAGGGGAGAGTGAGTGCCAGAACGAAAAAGGCTATAGGCATTCATCCTCTAATCTATGGGAGCTCTTTGAAATCGCCGTGAAGTCATGGATTCCTTTGCAACATATCGGGTGAGATCTTTGCTTTATTGTTCTCTTAACATTCATTCCATTATTATATGACACATTATATGCTGGGTATGGGACGGTCCAACCAGGGCACCAGATTGAAGCGATTTGGATGGGGAGAGTGGAATTGCCAACTTCAGGATACCCCGTTGGTACCTCTCCCCTCGGTTGTTTGTCCCCCGCTGGATTTTACACTTTGGCGACGAGACAATAGTAGATTAGGGCACCACATCCGTAAGTCTATTCTGTCAGTCCTGGCAGCTGCAGTTATCAGTTCAAGTGCGGACGTCTACACGAACGGTGCGAAACGGCGTGCTATCGGCAGTAAAAAACGGTTAAAAGTATCAAAAAATAAGAGTCTCTAGAAAGTTTTGTGCGATATTCATTTACGTAAAATCAGCAAAAAATAGTGGTAGTTTATAATTCAGTAGAGAAAAGTGGGATACATATACAGTTGTGTTTAATGGTACCGGTGATTATTTTACACCAATTTACCACATTTTTTTTTTTTCTTTTGTTTGTTTTCTTTTTCCGTCGATCTTGTTTTCCGTGCTGAGCACCAATGCTACCGACGTGCCAGGAAGGCAGCTCCCACACCTGGACCCTACCTATCGACCCATCAACTCATGAACCGGGGACCAACGACTTTACTTCCCATCCGAAGGAAGGCGTGATTAGAGATGTTATGCCTCAGAACATCCCGGCGGCGCCGACTGGGATTGAACCCAGGCCTGCTGGGGTGAGAGGTAATCACGCTTACCACTACACCATCGGCACCGTTCACAAAATTTCTTGCACGCAGTCATTTTGTTTGCTGGCGTCATATTTTTTTTTTGTTCAGACTAGAGAGCATTGAACTATCTACACAAAAGTTTCTCATCTTATTCCAAAAATTCGACATGTTTTTGAAGACATTGTAAGTAGTGAATTTTAAGAGTGTTATTTATTTTTACTTATTTAGTTGAGCTGGTGTCATACAGTGAGTTTTCTTCGGTGCATCCTGTTTGCGGAAAAGTTCAAGTTCCGTGATGTGAAGATCTAAACCGACACGCAAATCCAACAACCGTGCTTCTGAAAAGTGTTACAGGCTCTGCTTCCAACTACTGCAAGCAGGGGTCCGGAGAAAGTGCTGCACGTTTCGTACAATTGCGGCAATAACTCGGAAAGACTCCGGGGCTGTAGTATCGGCTCCTTTGTGGAATTAAAAACGGCTATTGTCCTAGCGCTGCTGTTCCGGGAAACCAAAGGACCAGAAGAACAATACAACAAAATTGGTGAGTCATTTACGATAAACTTATTGCATGATTTTTTCTTGTAACAAGTGTGTTTATTGTTCTTTTTTGGTTTTAAAATCGGCCATACATAAAAACACTATCTTTGTATAACACGAAACCAGTATTTTAAACAAATAATTGTCTAAACGACCTTTTGTGATTTTTTTACAATGGCTTTTCCTGGAATGGCAACCATGATTGAACCTTTTCGCAAAGGTACCGTGCCGATTCAAATTTCGGACACTTAAACTCGAATTTCGGACACTTTTAAAAGTTGATTATCTCGGTCGAATATGATCCACATGTCTTGTAAATTTTAAATTTTTTGACTAGTGCCCTCCACGATCATCTAACATTATTACTTTGTTTCTAACTGGATGTAATATTTAATTAAAAATGAAAGTGTCCGAAATTTGAATCGTCCGAAATTTGAATCGGAACGGTACATCATTTTGTCATTGGGTAGATCGTCTGGCATATTGTTTTCAGGCTAATGACGTAACAGATGCAATGAAAAAGGCACATTTAATCACTTTGGACGGTCCCGTCATGTGCTCTGAACTTAAACTACTTTATCCAAATGGTACTTTAGAAGCTGCTTATTATGTGGATATTGCATCTAAATTAAAAGCTAGACTAGACAAGGTCGAGCCAAACGTTATCTAACGCGCCCAATTCAATTTCCGTATAAGACAACCGGGTGAAACACATGAAGATTTTATTTTGGCACTGAATCTTCAAGCCGAATTTTGTAATAGGTATCGGTGATTTTAAGAACATGGCGATAAGAGATCGCATAGTGGCTGGTGTAAATGACAAAGCTCTCCAGCAGAGGTTATTAAATGAAAAAAAAACTTACGTTGGAAATAGCTGAAAAAGTAATTACGACAGGGCAAATAGCTAAAACTAATGCTAAAGCTTTACGAAGTAGGGAACAGAGCTGGGATCAAATAGCATCTTTGAAAACTTCGGATCCTAAAACGATTGGCACAGCCATGAGAAAATTGGCCTCAACTTTTGAATTGGCTAAGCAGGAGGAACATGCAAGAGGACCTGTGAAGAGCCGTTTAGGATACAGGCAACGACCAGGACGACAAGGGCATTACCAACGACAACAGAATGATTGGAACATACCAAGCTCGTTCCAGGCTGGGGATTGGCGTAACCATGAGCAAACAAAACGGTCACGTTTCGCAAACTTCATTTGTGATCACTGTGGTGTAAAAGGTCACATTAAGAAGCGATGCTTCAAGTTAATGAACTTGAAGAAGGATGCAGTCATCTTAGTGGAAACCTGGTGTTATGGTCCTTCAGTAGATGACGAGCTACATTACTTAATCAACAGGATGACCACAATGGATTCGGATACCGAATAAGAGGATATGGACGACACAACTGAACATGAGTAATGAATACAAATGCATGAATATTATCTCAATCAACAAAATAAACAACCCTTGATCTTGATATTGAAGGCAAATTACTTAGCATGGAGGTTAATAAATGCCAATATTTTTCCATTTTTAACAAATCTCTGCAAAAGTGCAATAAACATTTGGCGGTAGTGAATGGCTCGAAGTTGGATGTTCTGGGAGAAGCAGTCCTTTTGGTAACATTTAGGGGAAAGGAAGCAAATTTAAAGTTGTTGGTCCCGGATTGCGAATATAAGTACATCCCGTTATTGGGTCGTACATGGTTTGATGTGCTTTTCCCAGATTGGCGAACATTTTTTTTTCTAATTCTACTGTGATAAATACGATGAATGACAAAAAGGATATAATAGTAAATGACGTTAAACAACGGTTTCCTAAAGTATCAATAAAAGATTTGTCATGTCCCATCGTTGGTTTTAAAGCTGAATTCATTTTAAAATCTGACGTGCCAGTCTGTAAAAAAGCTTATGATGTTCCATACAGGCTAAGAGACAATGTTGACGCTTATTTGAATAAATTAGAAAAAGAAAAAGTTATAACTCCTATCAAAACTAGTAAGTGGGCGTCTCCAATATTCATCGTTATGAAAAAGAATAATCAAATTAGACTGGTAATAGATTGCAAAGTATCGATAAACAAAATGATCATACCTAATAGTTATACGCTGCCAGTTGCACAAGATTTGTTTGCAAGGTTAGCAGGATGTAG